GCTTTTTCTACTACAGCACATGGCCATCCTAGTACTTTGTAGTATAGTAGCACCTCTGTCCTCTTTTCTCTGTTTTTGTGTTTCTTGGAGCACCTATTCATCCATTATCATGTAAAAGCTTCCTATGGTGTGCTGATCATGGTAAGTCTCCTGTCTATAGCATTTAATCTTTGACACTTTCCTTACAACCATTGTGTGAACTCTATACCCTAAGAAATGTTATTCCCATTTTCCAAATGAGAAGACAGATTTGCAAAAGGATCAATTTCCGTGAAATCACAGAAGAAATTGGCGATTCAGCCAAGCAATATTAAAACCCAAGTTTTTGTACTACTAATCAAATATCTTTCTAAGAGAGCGCTGTTCCCCAACACCTGGGCATGTCAGAGTAGAAAACAAATCACTTTGTCAGCCCTGCAACCAAAGACGGTTCTCTCTAGCTGTGGGAACTCAAGAGGACCTAACCTTGAATGTGTCTGTGAAAAGGATTATCAAAGATTGTGTCTATACATATGTGATTCAATAATATCGATGACAAAAATGGCACAGGTGCCATGTATGAGGCAAACAATTCTATAAATTGTGACTCCAAGTGGATTGTTTGTTTTCTGCTTAATGTAGCTCCTTTTATATGAAAGGAAAATCTTTCATTGTTGTTCATTGTAAAAGTTGATTTTTTTTCTGCTTCTACAAAAGTCTGTGAGATAAAAGTATTATTTATTTATTTTATCCTTAACTTCCAGTTTCATATTAACCACATGAGTAAAAAAGTCCTTTCACAATGGTGCTATAAGGACTAACGGATATCTTTAAAAATTAATACGGGTTAAAAGTATCATAGAATCATTGATGCAGAGATAAAGGGAAAGGATCTCAGTGACCATCTAGTCTAATATATTTCCTTTATCAATGAGCAAACTGAGGTCTGTGATATCTGAGGAGCGAAAGACATTAAGGGATTTGTGAAAGATAAAACAGATAATAACAGTAGGTTAATTAAAATAAGAGTAGATAATTCTTTTATCTAGTTTTAAGGTTTTCAAGCATTTTACAGAATTATCTCCTATTCTCAGAATAGCCCTGTGATGTAAGTCCCATTATTTTATCCTTTTTTGACTCATGAGTAAATTGAGGCTTTGAGATGAGGTGACTTCTCCATGGTCACAATGATTTAGGAGACACATTTTTTCCATAAAGTGGGAAATAAACCTTTTCTCTCTTTCCACACCTCTGATACACACACACGCACACATATACATATAGATAGATAGAGATAAAAATGTGTGTGTATTTGTGTGTGTGTTTATGTCTGTCTGTGTCTGTGTCTGTGTGTGTCTGGGTTGAACAAGGGATCAACTAGCCCTTCCCTCAAGACTTTAAGTGAGAGGAAACCCAGTACATGTTAAGACAGCCCCTTCCACTTCTGGATAGCAAAATTTTTGGAATCTTTTCCTTACTTCAAACCTAAGTTTATTTCTTCTTACCTTATAACCTTTCCTTTTGGCTCTTACCTTTTGGTACAAATAAAACAAACCAAATCCAACCTCCCTATGTCAGTCCCACAGACACTTGAAGATAACTTTAATTCAAACTCCTGCCCTGACATCCACTTTTTATCTTTTCTACACCAAACCCCCTCAGTTCCTTCCATCAATCTCAATATGACAAGATTTCAAAGTCCTTCTCTATATGGGCTGAACTTCTCTGGAGAATCTATAGCCTGTCAATGTCCTTCCTAAAGTGTGGAACCGAAGACTGAACATGTTGCTCCAATGTAGACTAGAGGGGACCACCTCAGTATACCTAGGTACTGTGTTCCTCCATTCAGGGTATGGTCAAATTGGTTTTCTTGTTAGCCATGTATATCACTAGGTTATTGTGGGGATCAAATGATCCAATCTATTTTAAATGTTTTGAGAAGTGTAGAGAGGCAAATCTGGTAAAATGGATAGTGCATTCGGACTGGAGTCAGGAAATCCTGATTTCAAATCCAGTCACAGATACATAAGGTATGACCCTGAGCAAGTCATTCAACCCCCATTTACCGCTCTTTCCTCAACTTTAAAGTGGGAGTAATGACAGTACCTACTTCATACGGTTGTTGTGACAATCAAATAAGATAATATTTATGAAAGTGTAGCACAGTTCTTGGCATATAATAGATGCTAGATAAATGCTTTCCCCCTTCAATTCCTAGTTGTTCTGTTATTCTAAATCCAAAGATCATTCTCTCTGTCAGAGAAAATAGAAACAATACAAATTGAGTACCTCTGCATTTCCTTGTCATTCATTATGCTTGTCTCATCAGTTATGAGAATCAGTCCAGTTCCTGATTTGATTATCCTTTGTTTCTTCAAATAGTCAATTTTGTAATAAAAATACACATCTTTTAAAGTCTTTAGCTTTCTGGGCCTCCCTCAGTTCAAACTGCATACTGACACTTCTTCAACTCTATTACTATAAGATCTGCTTTTGCACTTATCCTTGATTATCTCTCATTTTTTTTCTTTTCTGCGAACTTATTTTTTACATATCAGTCTGCCTAATTGTCAATTTTTCTTCTAGTGTCTTCAAAATTTTATTCTTGATATATTTCTTTCCTTTCAAGTTTAAATTCCCTACAGAATGGTCCTTTATCTTTCCTGTAAATTGTCTAGAATTAACTCTTCCCAAGTCTAATATGCATGTCTGAAGATTCCTTTGTCTTCCTTTATCTATATAAAAATTTAAAATGATGTAATTACTTTCCCCCTACTCTTGTAACATTCCCATTTATTTTTATTTTGCCTAATAATTCCTCATAATTTATGAGAATTAAATGTAGGATAGAATTTTCTCATATCTGTTCCTTCATTTCACACTTTTGATGCATTAAAATATCATTTTCATCAAGAAATCAATAGCTTTTCTTTGAGAAGAGAAACAAAGATGGACAGATAGCTAGCTGGATATGCAGATGGAAAGAGGCACAGGGAGAATCAGGCAGACAAAGAAAAAGGGGGAAAAAAGAGCCAGGAAGAGACAGACAGAGACAAATATGTGTAGATGCAGAGATACAGAGATAGAGACAGAGAAATGCATTGAGAGAGAGAAAGAGAGAGAGAATAAGAGAGAACATTCTGATAGATGCCCAGATAATTGAGACTCTTATCAGTAATATACTGATAACAATATAAATGCTTTCCACCATGTTTTCCAGCTGTGGTTCCTGGATTTCTTTATATGAGTATATTTTCTCAGTTTAAAAATATTTTAACAGCCTGTTTTAACCTATCCTATCTCATTAAAATAAGAGGAAATCTTTTCAGAACCAAATTCCAGTTATGAGTCCTATCCCTCAAGTCTAAACTGTACCTTGGCAACCATATTTGTTCTTCTGCATTAGAGATTCTAATTCATCTTGTATATGAGGCATAATTACTTGGGGATCCCAATGTGCTACTAGAGCTATATATCTCTTATCTTTCCTTCTTCCTGCTTAACCAGCTCTTCTCCTTTTCCATTCTTTCAGGCCTTTTGGCAGGCTTTAATAGAGGTGACTGGTAGATGTCCTCGGAGAAACCAACCATGCTGACTTGAGAGTCTCTGCTTTTCATACACACACACACACACACACACACACACACACACACACACATACACATATATACATATATATATATATGTGTATGTGTGTGTCTGTTTATGTGTGTGTGTATACAAACACACATACATATATTCAAAAATACAAATTATTATAATTAGCATGTGGCAGCCTACTTATGACTTCTACAAAAACTTCTAGCAACTCATGGTGAGAGATGAAATGAAGTACTCTAACACTAAGTCAGTGACACACTACTGTGTCCAGTCCTTTCAAGCTATAAAGGCTTAAAGTGGCTGTCTGGTGCCTAAAGGCCAACTTAGCTTAGTTCAGACATTGAAAGTCACAAATTGACAATCAGTGAGTCAATAAACATTTAAGTACCTACTGTATGTCCAGCACCAAGCTAAGCAGAGAGAATACAAAGAAAGGAAAGATATGGTCCTCACCATCAGGGAGTCCATAATCTACATGCAAATAACAGCAAATATCTGTTTATAAAGAAGCTATATTCCAGGCAATTTAGACACAATTAAAAGATAGAAGGCACTGAAATCAGTGGGTCACTGAAATTGAAGCAATGGATTAAGAAAGGCTTCCTGTGGGTGAGATTTTAGCTCAAACTTGAAACAGACTAACCCCAAAATTCGTGATTTCTGTGGGACCCAAAAAACCATAAAGGGAATGAATGGACAAATATCTCTGTTTCTGGCCACCTTCTGTTTCTACAGTGGCCTTGGTGGAGAATTGAAAAAGGGACAGGCTGTGGGAAGGAAACACATTCAGAAGTCATACATTTATTGTTAAGTGAGCCATCAATGGTCTTTTGTACAGTTAATTCTCACAACTGTGCAACTGGTGTCCTTTGGCAACTGTTTCTACTCAGAAATTGAACTCCTTGCCAACTTTTTTTGATCCTCTCCTTCCTTCTCACAGTTTTTTTTAAGCTTTCCTCTTATTTTATTCCACCTTCTTCTACTTTATTCTTCTTTTGCCTCTTCTTTGTCAGAATGAAGCATATTCATAAGCAAAAATCTAGTTCTCCAAACCTGGCCAACAGTAATCCCCACTCTTATGTTGATTTTTGCCAGAAAATAAGGCATTTCCCTTTCCTGAAGTGGGAAATGTCACTTTGGGGATGGTTAAATGTGTAGTAGATTAAACAAAGTGCGCAGTAATACATGAGTGACTCTCTCTCTCTCTCTGTTTTCTATGAGAAAATAGATGAGTGGGTTTTAAGGGCCTAGAGTAACTGCTGTGACAACTACCTAGATGTTCTTTTTCTATAAATTGCCATTTCTAGCCCTCACATAAGATAGGTCTCTGACCATGTTTTGTGTCTTGGAGTCATTCAACATGCAGAATTCATTTTTCTGATGGTTACTATTTTGTTGCAGGTGATTGGTGTCACTCTCAAATGACATCCATGGAGAACAGATCTGAAGTGAATGAGTTCATCCTTACAGGATTAACAGATGTTCCAGAGCTTCAGGTCCCTCTCTTCATAATGTTTACTCTCATCTACCTCATCACCCTGGTAGAGAATCTAGGGATAGTAGCTCTGATCTCCAGCGAATCCTGCCTCCACACTCCCATGTACTTTTTCCTCAGTAACCTCTCTCTGGTGGATTTTGGCTACTCCTCAGCTGTTACTCTGAAGGTGATGGCTGGACTCCTCACAGGGAACAAAGTTATATCCTATAATGGATGTGCTACACAACTTTTCTTCTTTGGGTCTTTTGTTACTGCAGAAAGTTTCCTCTTAGCCTCCATGGCCTATGATCGTTATGCTGCTATTTGTAAACCCCTATATTATACTACCACCATGAAATCAACAGTATGTGCTCATCTGGCCATTGATGCTTACATCTATGGCTTTCTGGCCTCCTCCATAGTCACAGGATACACATTTAGCCTTTCCTTTTGTAGGTCCAACATAGTCCATCACTTTTTCTGTGATATTCCCCCTCTCCTAGTTCTCTCTTGCTCTGATATTCACATCAGTCAATTAGTAGTCTTTATCTTAGGGTCACTCAATACATTTTTCACATTTGTTGTCATCTTTACCTCTTACCTGTCAATTTTCATCACCATCCTGACCATCCATTCTACTAAAGGTCGTCAGAAAGCCTTCTCCACCTGTGCTTCCCATCTCACAGCAGTGTCCATATTTTATGGGACAATCATCTTCATGTACTTCCAACCTAGCTCAAGCCATTCCATGGACACAGACAAAATGGTATCAGTGTTCTACACCATGGTGATCCCTATGTTGAACCCTCTGGTCTATAGTCTGAGGAACAAAGATGTCAAGAATGCTTTTAGGAAAGCTGTGAGGGTCAATGATTTCAATTGGATCATATTTTTTCTTAGAAAGAAAATCTGATCTGCACCTTCCCCACTCTGGGATCTAGCCCTGAAATTAGGCTATTTTTCTTACACACAGTGAAGTATATAATCCAAACTTTCTCAAAGATAACATATATAGTAGAAAGTATCATAGTTTTGGAGGTAGGAGAGACTTGAATTTATATGGTCTTACACACTTTCATGTTGTATAGCTCTAGGCAAGTCCCAATCTCAGTTTCCTCATATTTAAAGGGCCTTAATAGTATCCTCTCTCTTAAAAGCTTGTTATGTGGAATGAATAATACGTGTATATTGTCTTCTTTTTTCTGTTTAGTTGTGTCTGGCTCTTTGTGATCCATTTTGAGGTTTTCCTGGCAAAGATACTGGAGTGGTTTCCTATTTACTTCTCCAACTCATTTTACAGATAAGAAACTGAGGCAAGCAGGGTTAAGAGACTTACCCAGGGTCATACAGCCAGTAAGTGTCTGAGACTGTATTTGTATTTGTGAAGATGACTCCTCTTGATTCCAAGCCTTGTGGTCCATCCATGGTGCCACCAAGATGTGTGTGCTCACACACACATACGCACTTATTTAAATTCAAGACAGTAATTGTAGTGATTTTTCTAGAAAGAAGAAAATCAGTTACATGTTTTTGAACAGTTTATTATTTTAAGAGCAAAGCCACTGAATTGCTTAGAAAATATAGCTTTGACGTTTATGGCATTGCTTATACAGCAGCCCCTAAAGCAGAGATGAGCTGGTAAATGCTTAAGAACCACCTTTCCTGAAAAAAAAAAAAAATATATATATATATATATATATGTGACCTGTATTTTAAACCTATTTTTAGCATATTATTTTCTCCATCACTTTCCTGAATTCTAGATTATAAAACAAACAATGAATTAAACCTTGATTTGTAGTATTTATTGATTTTTTACATTTCAGGTGCTCACACTTAAAATGTAAATATGTCTGTTCCCCTCTTGGAGCTGGCTCCAGAACCACACTGCAATTTGGCTAACTTTAGGAAGTAATATAAACCATAGGATGGTTCTAAAGGCCTGGAAAGAGGTTTGATCCTGTGTGAGGGCCATATTTCATTGTAATGTCAATGCAATATTCTGATGCCAACTTCAACATCAACTCAACATCAACAGCAAACAGGGGGTGCCAGTAGGTGTCCCCCCCCATGGATGCAGCCTGTGCTGGGTTCTGCTCAACATCCTCTTTGGTACCCCCTGGAGGCAGGGACAGCTCTATGCCTTTTGCCAGCAGGAAGCAGTTTCAGAAGCTGAGACCTTCACCCCTTACTCCAAAAGAATTTGTTTCCCATTTGTTTGAGTGGGGAATGATAGAGTTCTAATCTGGACTCCTGATGGGAAAGGCCCTGAACTTCCCCACATGGTCAAATCTCTGGCTTAAACCTCAGGCTATGATCCTATAGGCTGACCTTTTTTTGTGGCTACACCCAATCTCCCAATTGTGGAATGAATAATATGTGTGTGTTGTTTTCTTTTGGTTGTTCAGTTGTGTCTGGCTCTTTGTGATCCCATTTTGGGGTTTTCTTGGCAAAGATACTGGAGTGGTTTCCCATTTCCTTCTCCAACTCATTTCACAGATAAGAAACTCAGTCCAACAGGGTTTAGAGACTTTCCCAGTGTCATATAGCCAATAAGTGTCTGAGACTCTATTTGTATTTGTGAAGATCACTCCTCTTGGTTGCAAGCCCAGTAGTCCATCCATGGTGCCACCTAGATGTGTGTGCTCACACACATACACACACATATTTAAGTCCAAGACAGCAATTGTAGTGATTTTCCCACAAAGAAGAAGATCAGTTACATAATTTTGAACAGTTTATTACTTCAAGAGCAAAGTCACTGTATTGCTTGGAAGATATAGCTTCGATGTTAATGGCATTGCTTACACAGCACTCCCTAAAGCAGAGATCAGCTGGTAAATGCTTAAGAATCAACTCTCCTGAAAAAAATGTATATATGACCTTTATTTTAAATCTATTTTTAACCTGTTCTGTTCTTCATCACTTTCTGAAATCTAGATTATAAACAAAACAATAAATTAAGTCCTGGCCTGCAGTATTTATTGATCTCTACAATCCAGGTAATACTTAAATGTAATTATCTCTTTGTGAGCCACTTGGAGCTGGCTCCAGAACACCTCTGCAGTATGGCTACCTTTAGGAAGGAACATAAACCATAGGATGGTCCTAAAGGCCTGGAAAGAGTTTGATCCTGTGTGAGACACATATTTCATTATATTCTCAACGTATTATCCTCATACCATCTTCAACATCAATTCCATTCTAGCTAATAGTTTCTTTTGCTGCCTTATATGTTTCCGTATCTGAATAGTGGTTCCTGTGAGGTTTTATTTTGTTTTGCTTTTTATAGCTTTTCATTTTTCTGTGGGATGAAATAAAGCCTGGCTAATATTTAATAACTTGAATCATTTTATGAGCTGGCGACCCATCTTGACCACACTGGGAGAAACTTAGGAACAAGCTATACTCTCGGTATGTAAGTTGATTTTTGAGGAATAACTTTATTCAAGGGTAAAGAGCTAACAAAAAAGGCATAGAGCAATCATTTCTGTACATCGTTATCCAGGACTACACATGGTCCCTGTGAGCCCAGAAATCTCAGTGGGTAATGAAGGACTTTGAAATAGGTTACAGTTGGACTTCAAGTGGAAAGCAAATACAGATTTCACAGAAGAAGTAACTGAGACCCAACTACGTAATGGATCTTTGGTGTTTCTTCTCACACTTTGGCACTACCTGTTCTCCATTTTTGATTTGAATGGGGGGGGGAGGGCTCAAATCAATTGACAGTAGGTCACTGTGAGGAAGGAATAGTTCATCTATAAAAGTACAGTGCATATTAGTGGGATACCGGTATAATATCGGTCAGTGGTATACTTGGAAGCAAAAATGCTAATGCCGTGTATGACTACTTTGAGAAAACATCTGTCCCAAATGAGGGAGGTGATGGTACTGCTATCCTTTGCTCTTTTCAGAGTTTTGCAACCCTATGGTGAGTGTTTGCAAGATTTTTTCTTTCTTTCTTTCTTTCTTTCTTTCTTTCTTTCTTTCTTTCTTTCTTTCTTTCTTTTTTTTTTTGGCAAAGCACCAAAGTAGTTCATGTTCTTTTCCATTGTGTTCCCATTTTACAGATGAGGAGCTAATGCAAACAGAAGTTAAATGGATTGCCCATTGCTATACGGTTTGTGAAGGTCTGAGACTAGATTTGAACTCAGATCTTTCTGACTCCAGGACCAATGCTTAATCCACTGTAGCATTTAGCTGTCTCCTTTCAGAGTACACCTGAGTATTTTCTTCAGTCCTGGTGGTTATGTTTTAGGAAGGATATTGACACCTGGAGCATGTAAAGAAGAGTTTTACTGGAGATTGTTCCATATAAGAAACAATTAGAAATGACTATGTTTATTTTGGTGAATGAAAATGTCAGTGTGCCTGGGTGAAGGATTTGAAGATGTGTCTCATGGGAGGGAGATTAGGCACATTCTGCTGAGCCCTAGAAGGCAGAACAAGGAGTAATGGCTGGAACGTTCAGAGGAATATTTTGACTTGGAGCAAGGAAATTTTTCCTAACAAATGGAGCACTTCACAATTGACAACCTGCCTTGAATAATTCTTCACTGTAGGTTTTTAGGTGCGTTATCTTTTTATTGGGTGTGTTGCAGAGAATATTCTTTCCAGGCATGGATAAGATTTGATGACCTCTGAGAGCCCTTTGACTCTAAGATTCTGTGATTCCCTTGCTCTATCCTTCTCGAGAATTACCACTGGAGGGCCATTTAAGTGGCCCAGTGGATACAGCACCATCCCTGGACTAGGAGGATCTGAGTTAAAATCCAGCTGCCTCAGGCAGTTACTAGCTGTGTGACCCTGGACAAGTCACTTACAATGAGCCTTCCCACCTCCCACCCCTCAAAAACACCCCAAGTTTTTTCTCTGGACCTTTGGTGCCTGGTCTAGTGTTCAAGTAATTTCACTGCTTCCAGATACCTGTAACCCTATTGGGACATATCAAACTTGTACCTTTTGCTTTCTCTGTCTAAATCCTCACATGCCATCATGAACGTGGATTGCAAAGCATGAAACAATACAATACTCTAATGTTAGCAAACCTTCTTAGATATGAGTTATCTGAAAATGTGATAAGCCTGACACCTGTGCATCTATCTATATCATTGATGGTTTGATTCAATTCAATTTTATTAACGTGCATTTGGTACCTACTAAAAATGGGCAGACATTCTAGATCTTAAATTGTATTATAAAGCAGCAATCATCAAAACTACTTGATACTGGCTAAGAAATAGGGAGGTGGATCAGTGGAATAGGTTAGGTATGCAAGACACAGAAGTAAATGACTATAGTAATCTATTATTTGATAAACCCAAAGACCCCAGCTTGTGGGATAAGAACCCACTATTTGAAAAAAAAACTGCTGGGAAAACTGGAAAAGAGTATGGCAGAAAGTAGGCATAGACCAAAATCTCACACCATAAAATAAAGTCGAAATGGGTTCATGATTTAGATATAAAGGCTGATACTATAAGCAAAATGGGAGAACAAGGAATAGTTTATCTATCAGATTTATGGAGAACAGAAGAATTCATGACCAAACAGGACATAGAGAATATTGCAAAATGCAAAATGGATAATTTTAATTACATTAAATTGAAAAATTTTTTTTGCACAAACAAAGCCAATGCAACCAAGATTAGAAGGAAAGTAGAAAATTGAAAAAGAATTTTTATAACCAGTGTCTCTGATAAGGGCCTCATTTCTAAAATATATAGAAAATTAAGTCAAGTTTCCAAGAATACAAGTCATTCCCCAATTGATAAATGGTCAAAGGATATGAGTAGGCAGTTTTCAGATGAAGAAATTAAAGACATCTATAGTCATATTATAAAATGCTCTAAATCACTATTGATTAGAGAAATGCAAATCAAAACAACTCTGAGGTACCACATCACACCT